AAAAAATAATCAAAAGATTTAAAAATTATATATATGCCTGCAACTTTTGTGAGTCACTAAATTTCATGCTTTTCAAGATTTTCTTTACCTCCGAGAACAGAATCTCATTTTAATTTTGAATGATAGACAAGTTTTCTCAGTCTAGGAATGGGGACAGTATGAAAAACATCAAATACCATGATGCTGGCAATAAAATCCCAAAGAGTTGGCAGTCGTAGGTCAGAGAAGACAAGGCTTGGGAGGGAGCCAGAGCCTGCCTGTGAACAGCAGCAGCAGGCTGGAGACAGCTGTCTGGAATCTGTCTGGGCAGCAGGCACCCCAGGAGATGAGAGAGTCATGCAGGGAAGCAGCTTTTTGCTGCTATGGGAGCCATAACATTAGAGCTTGTTTCCACTTACAGAGGTTTCCTGTTAGAACTACAACTAGCAAACCCTGCCAATGAAGACGAAAGTTAGACAGCTTCCCAGAATTGAACTACATGCACAGAAAGGAGTTGCTGCATGTATAAAAGCATCTATATTATAGGTTTTGTTGGCATGGTTATGTGGTTTGAGAATGGGTGTTGTGTTTTTTAAACTGATGAAGAGCAAAGCTTTAGGAAGCGGGCAGGAGAAAGGAGCAGCAAGGGGAGCCACAAGTTGCATGTCTCTAGGCATGATCATTAATAATTGCAAGAGCAGTCAGACCAAGACTCCCCGGGTCTTTGGAACTGTGGGGAGGTGAAGACAGCTGTTGTTAACAAAGCAGTCTTCTGATACTCCCGTAAGAGCTGGGAATACTCATGGGAATTTATCATAATTGTAGGGTTACAGAGCCTGGAGCACTTTTCTGTTTCTGGACAATTTGTGCACATAAGTCCCATCAAACACATGCATCGTGATAGCTAGCTGGAATGTGGATCTGAGAATGTTTTTAAGGTGTTCAGTCACATTATCTGTCCATCTTTGATTCATCTTGGTAGCTACAGTCTAAAGATAAATAATCTGGGTTGAGATCAGGCATACTTAAGCTTTAGAACATCCCTTGTTGGATCACTGTAATTCATTCCAGTGTCTATGGATAGTAGATGAAGGAAAGATTGGATCCACGTGTTCCAGTGGGGCCCTGGGCTCCACCAAGGAGCTATGCAAGGACACCAAGGAACATGGTACTGGTCCTCTCCCCACTCTAGCTGGAGGCAGGAGGTGATAAATGCTCACCAGCCCCACAGAGCAGCTGAATGCTGGAGCCATCACTGTGCCTTTCAAAATACCACAGAAACGGCAGCAGAGCTGTGGCTGCATCCCAGGCAGAATATATGTTCCCATAAAACTCAGCTTACGAGCTCTTACCACTATCAAAAACCACTGGAATGTTAAAACACCTTGTTACTAGTGGCAACCATTTTCTGCTAGTCTAATTTTTGTCCTTTCGAGGAGTGGGAGGAGATCAAGTCGCATTTCTTGTTTGCTTGGGAAGCTGCAGTGTCCTTTGCTTTGCCCTGCATGTCAGCCCTCCCTCAGCCTCCCACAGTCTGTGGGCAAGGATTTACAAGTTCAGCAGCCCCTGGGTGAGGGGTTTTTTTTCTCCTCTCTGTCATCTGGACTTTCCCCAGAGCACAGCAGGGCCTGCAGCTTGTCCTATCAGCACCTCTCGTAACAAATGACTTACCTGGTCTCGTTGTCTCTGCAGAATTATTTTGTCTGGTTGGAAGATAAACTTTGTGTTTTCTAAGGATAGATGCTGGGCAGATGTTCCAGAGGGAAAGCACCGAGCAGCAGAGCAAGTAAACCAAAAGAGTACAATTTTGTGATAAAACAATGTTTTCATGTGCCCATCTGAAATAAAATTGTCAGAAATGGAGATCAACCTGTTTCCCCCTACCTGTCTTATTGTTCCAACTCTCAGGGAACAGCCTGAGGACTCCTTTTCTACAGGGCTCTCAGACATAAAGTACAGGGCCTATTACGTCTTTTGAGAAAGTCCTGGCCACTTTGTAGGTCTCAGGCCAAACCCACCAAACCTCGCCATCTAATGTGTCCAAAGAGCTCCTGGAAGGCTGTGTTACAAGGAGATTATATTATTTCTGTGTGACTTGCCAGAGACTTTTCAGCTCTTGCCTCCTGTAGCCTGCTGCTACAATAAACTGGAGTCCTGTTGCTTAGGCAGAATTTTGCATAATTGAAAGGATTTGGAGATAGCTGTGGGAAGGCACTGAGTCCTGAGCTCTGCTGGAGATCTTAGTGACTTAAAGCATTGAAGTGACAGAATTCCCATTTCAGGTTGATATGTATTAATACCAAGGGTGAAAAGTGAGGTGCCTGGCAGATAAAAACATTTTAAAGCTTGAAATAAAATTAGTTACTGGGAGCTGTGGATATATTACCTTTAGCTGCAGAGCTTTTACACTCATACATGAACATTTTGATTGTAGAATAATAGAATCATCAAGGCTGGAAAGATCACTAGGATGATCTAGTCCAACCATCAACCCATGCCCATGACTGCTGTACACCATGTCACTCCATGCTACATCCACCCTTTTCTTGAACACCTCTAGGGATGGTGACTCCACCACTTGGCCAGCCTGTTCCAATGCCTCACCACTCTTTCTGAGAAGAATTTTTTTTCTTATACCCAACCTGAACCTCTGCTGCTGCAAGTTGAGGTCATTATCTCAGGAAATTAAGGTTTACCCATCTCAGAGATGGCAGAAAGCATGAAGCTTTGCTGAGGAAATCCTGGAACACCCCAGAGGTTCATCCAGCTCTATGGCCTTGCTGCCTGCCCTCTGACTGCAAGGGCTGTTCCCTCTGAACTCAGCCAGATCTGCTCCCAGCAGGATGCTGTGAGATACCCCACAGAACATATGTGAAGCTTTGTGGGACAAATTTCTTCCTAACACTGAGTACATGCAAATGTTTTTCATCTACTCTGGCCTTGTGTCCAGCATCAGCTGAGGTTGTGGCATCTGGTTTCATAGATGAAAGCAAAATTATTCAGAATAAATGTGCAACTCAAAGTGCCATACCTGCAAATCTTTAACAAGGGACCTTTCAGCTTTTCTGCCCATCCATAATCGTGGCCTTTCTCTGTTGAAACTGCAAATTTTCTGTTCCCTTTAATTTTATCTTAAATTAATTTTATCTTAAATCTTACTCAAGACCAATGTATTGATACTGGGGTGATCAAGCAATGGCTCTATTTTTTTTCTTCCAAAATCCTGTCCCTTATCAGACATCAATTTTGGCTTTCTCCATTTCATTCATTCTAAATGCAATACTGATAACCCTCTAAATGAGCATGAGCCAATATTGTCCCACACAAAGAGAATCACTTTTTTTCCTTTTCTGATTTTCCCAACCATCTCATGCGAATCACATGAAAAAAAGCTTTCAAGAAAGGGATAATGTGCTTGTTCTAGCAGTTGCAACCCTGCCCGTGGCAGAGGGGTTGGAACTAGATGATGTTTGAAGTCCTTTCCAACCCACACCATTCTATGATTCTATGATTCTGTCTCCATAGATTTGGACATAGAAAAGCAGAGCAGCTTGGGTCCTGCTCTCTTGGTTTGGAATTTGTGTCGGGTTCTTCAGCTGCCAGACCCCTTCCAATCAAGACAGCATTGGCATTTGTTCAGCAGTTTTCTGGGTATTACTACACTAATGACTGTTCTTCAGAAGATTTATTATTGAGGGGACAGAGCACTGTGCTTCTGCTGGATGGAGCTGTGGGCTTAGAGTAGATAGCATATCTTTAGCAGGGACCATCTGTATCTGTAGCTGTTCTATGAGCTTTGCACTTTCTCTCTAGAGAAAAAGTAATTGCTTGCTATATTGTCCTGGTCAATGTGCAGATAGTGCTAGCTCAGGAAAGAGGCATGAAGAATTTGCCTGATCTGAGTGCTCATACCATGGCTCTGGGGTTAACATAGGGAACTTGCTATCATCATCACACAAACTTTGAGGCTGACATTGAAAGGAGATGGAGAGGCAGGGTTTGTGGCTATGAAGATTTTTTCCTCCATTTTTTATTACTAAAAGACTGGAGTTCACATCTCAGCTAGTTTACACAAGATAGAGATGTGAGCGATTTATGCACTGATGACATCAAAGATAACAGTTGTTTCCTTCTGTCTTGATTCCCAGTCCTTGTCTGTCACCATGGGCTGACCCCTGCTGATGCACATCATCTCTGTGTCCAAGGCTGAATTCCTCAGCAGCAGAGATAAGGTGTCCTTGGTTGCTGGCCCTTGCCAGTGGAGCAGCTTAATGGAGTCATTACTAGGTACGACAGAGCCAAATCTGCCCTTCAAGAATATGCTTTTTGGATGCGACAACCTAAAACAATGGAGGGGAAAAAAGACCAGGAAAAGAACCTCAACACTAAAACATCTACTGGCAAGTCAGAGTGGCAAAAGGCAGGCTCCCATGATAATAATCCTTTGAGACAGTATTGCATTTGGCACTCAGGCATCTGTGTGATCTGTGTCTTGAGAATCCTTTAGCAAGACGAGGAAAGAGTTTCCATTTTAAAAGAAAAAATACGGCAGAAACCGGGAGTGAAAACTCACCTTGTTTAATTTGTGGTGTGTCTATGCTTACATCCTCCATAAATCTCAAAGAAGGAGCCACTCATAGTTCTCCCACTCACCTTTAATCCACAGTGTTGCTTCTCTGTAGACTCGAAGTTCCAGAGAAATAGGATTTATCTTTGGATTTTATGTTTGTTTTTGTTGGTGGGAGAATTCTTCTGTTTTCTGAACTCAAGGGAAAATGAATCAATGTGCAGTGGGAGGCTTAGGCACAAAACTGAACAAGAATGAATTTCTTGTCTTTGTGAACTGGAGAGCATACTTCTCAACACCATTCAGTAAATAATTATTCACAGTCTTTTTACAATCTTTTGCTGTAGGTAAAAGAGAAATAATCTATAGTGCCAAAAAACCATTTCAGGAACTTGTGAAAATTTTATTTTGTAAATACAATCATCTCGAATATTGCAATATATTTTCTATTTGATATTCTGATAGCATAATTATCAAGCATTCAAAATTGGATAAAATCCCATTTTAATTTTTTTACACAATATTTGAAAAGGTAGTGTTTTTTCATATACTCAAAGCCTAAAAAACTTCAATGCATATTTCACAGATCATCACACAAACAAAACACATTGTAGAGACCTTGCTATTTGTGAAATGTTTTGACTCAAATAGCTGGTGATGAATAGAGACAGATATATGTGTATGTATGCATACATGTGTATATAAATACAGATTTGATGTGTGGTAGCACCTTTTTAACCAAGTATTATTTAATTGGAACTTATTTTGTAGGTATCTGAAAATAACGTGTAAGAAATGAATGCTACAAAGAGGGAAAGAAAATCAGGTTTTGGATTGTGGATGCACCCACGTGTGCTGAGGGAAAGGCAGAGGTGGCTGCTGAACAACTATCATCTTTGCAAGGTCTTGGCAAACGGGAGTTGAGCGTGAAGACTGGAAGACGGCCAATGTCACTGCTGTCTGCAAAAAGGGCAAGAAGGAGGAGATTGCACAAAGAGGTTGTGGAGTCTCCTTCTTTGGTGATATTCAAGACCCCTCTGGACCCCTGCCTGTGTGATCTTTAGCAAGAGGTTGGACTTGATCTCTTGAGGTCCTTTCCAACCCCTGCAATTCTGTGATTCTGTTTACATATTTGACAAGATGCTGTGCACTGCCATATCCATTCTTTCATATTAGAAAAGAGTGAATTATTTTTTTTTCATGATATAATCAGAGAAACATTTCTTACATACAGAAGACAAGATTGTGACGTTTCCAAAGTTTTCAAGGAATCTGGAAGGCATATGCAGGACTTGTAAACAGTAAACACACTGAACTGGTTTTAAGAGCTGATAGATTTCAATTTGCATGCGCCCATTTAAATCCATGTATAACCTCACTATGGCAACAGCATTGCTGGAGAGAATTAACATAGAGATAGAGTTGGTATTACTTTCCTCGTTTCAGACTGCTCAAATAACAATAGCATAGAGTGGAAGTGCCCGCTGTGCCAAAAACAATAAAGTGGATGCAGAGAGACTGAGAATTCTTGGCAATAAGTAGGCTGCAATATGAAGTATTTTTAGATTTGGATTCCTTTCATTGGATGTGCAAAGGATAAAACTCCTTGGAGCAAGTTCCCAGTCTTCTTGTTCCCTTTCTGGAAAAGTGCAATTCTTGGAAGTAAGATATGCATTTGATTCCAGGAGAAATCCTTATTCCTTTTGACTCTTGTTTGTTTGTTTGTTTGTTTGTTGTTTTAAATCAAAACTCAATACATTATACACTGACAAACTGCAAGATGTAGAGAAGTATTGATGACAAAAGGCTTTCCTACAGCCTCCTGAGGAATCGCAGTTACCTGAGGAATTGGTCTTGTTCAGTGTTTTCAGTGAAACAGCTCTCCTTCAGTCAGCAGTTCTGTGAGTTGTCATCACTGCCTCCAATGGTGCCATCTTGGATCTGGATTTTGGTGTGCTTTTTTTCAGATGGCACAGCTGGCAATTACCCCAAGGCATGAGCCTGGTCTCCAGTCCACTTTTGCAAGGATTTCATTTTCAACTCTCTACATAACAACAGCATGGCCATAGTTCTTGTTTAGGAAGGAGGATAATTTTGGTTTTGCTCTGCACAGAACCCTGCTCTTTTCCTGTTGAATTCAGTGATGAAATCCCTGTGAATTCAGTGAAAGCAGGGCTGAACCAGAAGCTCCTAACAAAGGCAACATTGTTTGATGTGGCAGGGGTCAGGATGTTGGCGATGCCTTTCCTCTTTGTGCTCACTTCCTCCCCTCATTAGGGCTGTGGCTTTTGTTTTTCCAGCTCCAGGGTGTCTGTTTGCCATTGGGCACCAGTGGTGTTTTCTGCGCTGTGGTGTCTCCTGTTGTATGAAACAGATGTTAGAGGATCCTTCAAAACATGACATCTATTGCAGGGCGATGGGATCTCTGCTCCTCCTTTAATCATAGAATCATAGGACATCCCAGACTGGAAGGGAACTGTAAGGATCATCAAGTCCAACTCATGTTTTAGATGCATAAAATCTAAGATTGGGCTTCTGTTACCCTCCAGGTTACATTTGCATGATTAATTGATTATTTCTGCTTTTTGTGTGTGGGATGTGTTGTTTAATGCAAGCAGTAAAAGGTAGCTTAAATCGCAAGAGGCTGTCTGAAGTACCTTTTGTCTTGTGTCCATCAGCAGTGTTTCCTACAGGCAGGATGTCAGCAAGCTTGATTTCCTGACCTGAAGTGGAAGCAAAACAGCATAAATGAAGGCTCAGAAATTGAGAATTAAGGAATGTATCCATACCTCAAATCTGGCAAGAGGCCCCCTGAGAAGCTCTAAGCTGTTGCTGCAGAGAGCTGATGAAGGCACCAACACCTTATCAAGGAGGTACAGGCACCCCAGGGACTACAGGGGACAGAGAGGCAGCCAGTGTTGAAAGGATGGTGGGTATTTTGTCAGGATCTGCCTTCAAAGTGTACATTTTTAAGTTGTGGTACATAATGATACTGGTTTTGCAGGCTGAACTATTAAAATGAATTACTGCCTATTTTCATTCTTTATAATTACTGTAAAAGTTAGAGAGATATATTTGTTCCAAATTAAATTTTATTCTCATACTCAAGTACGTGTTTAGATTAATTCTACCTGAAGTAGATAAACTGCTTTGATTTTATGAAGCAATCTGGTCAAATTTCCCAACTGGGTATCTTAAAAAGAGAAATCTGAAACATCAAATGTGCTGGCTGTCCACCGATGAGGAGACCTTTCCCCTACAGGGAAATCTGTATTTCATATTGTCCATTCCACATTTCAAAAGCACTTCAGCTATAAATTGCAAAGATATTGCTCAAATACATGTTTGATTACCTCTAGTATTTCTGAGGCTCTCAGAGTTGGCAGACTCATAGCAGCCAGCATTATGGAGCCCTTCTATTGTACTCTGCCTTGGGAGAGCTGAGGAAACTGTGTGAAAACAGTGTGTATGAAGGGGTGAGAGATATAAACTAACTCCATTTCTGGTATCTGAAGATTTCTCTTGCTTTAGAACTTCTCCTGGGAAAGCTGCAAAAATTCAACCTTGGTTGAATTAGGAACCCATAAACCTCATTTATCTGAATTTACATACAGAAAAGAAGTAGTATGATAAAAGAGAGTTTTAACTGTTCACCCTCCTCTGCAAATATAAACACAGCTTTTCCTATGTTTACGCAGAACTGCCTACAAAGGCCCTATGATGCAGGAAAGGGACACCCAAAGCCAGAGCCCAGCTCTGCCAGGGCTGAACACTTCGGCCGATTCCGCTGCTGCAGCGTGCGCAGCGATGGGGAGCGCTCTGCAGAGCAGCACATCTGTGGTCATGGAAGGCAAATCCAGGGCAGGGATTGAGTAGGAAGAGCTTTGGTCAGAAGAAGGAGTTGAGCAGTCAGGGAGAAGGATGCACAATTATTAGGAACGAGAATGAAATACTGCCTGAGCAGCAAGGATGAGTCAATGGGATAACTACCAGAAATTTACAGAAGTATTAGTACAATCATGAGATGGTCTTTATTAGAGCAGAGAGAACGCAGTGGAGGAGCAAGAAATAAGCTCCAGGTTAAGAACTGTAATGATGGAGAATTTGCTGGAGTTTTAATACTGGTGGAGGAAAACATGAATTTAGTTTTAAGATATTGGGAGACCTCGCAGAATAGGGCAAGGGAAAGATGTGAATCTGGCCACTTGTTCACAACTGCTGGTGCAGATGTGTTATTGTAACTGGTGAAAAGGATGTAGATAAGCAGATATAAAAGGAAAGCAGGATAGCATCTCCATCAAGTATAACCCTGAAAGAGAAAACAAACAAATGGGATAACAGGAAGAAAGTTTCAATGGGCAAGGATACACCTGGCTGTTGCAGGTGAGGGAAAGGTAGAGAAAAATGAGAGCAGCTCTTGTTCTTAGTAAAGAGATGGAGGGGCTGCTTCTGTGCAATGGAGGGTGAGAAGTTGGTGAGAGTGAGAAAACAAAATCAACATGCTGGAACCAGAAGCCTTAAGGTTTTGAGAAGCCTGGGGGAGAGCAAACAGCAGGCAAGGATAGAGGTGGAGCAGGGCAGGCAGCTGGAATGCCCTGGACTCTGAGGGAGAGGGAAAGAAACCCATTAACAAACTGGTTAGTGAGAAGCTTGAGGTGGGCAATGGAAGGGTGGGCACATGAGCTGCAGAATTAAAGCTGGAGAAGGAGATTGCATTGGAAGCTGAGCAGAAGAGAAGGTGGTGATTGGTGCTCACACACAGCCTTTTCACATGTGAATGTGGCTGTTTCTGTCAACTAAATTAAATTAAGAGATCTCATTGTCCAGATGATGGGTGGATGCTGATACATAGACCTCAGGAGCACAGAGTCTATAGAAAAAACTAATCTGTGGGTTGGTGGCCAAAATTTTGAAAATAAGCCCTAAAAAAAAAGCAGTGTGGTCCTAAACAGAATTAATCTTCCACTCCATCTTTCTGATGCTGTTGTGATGAAAGTGATGGATGTGATGGATGCATCTCTGCATCCATCTCCATCTGTCACAAGTGCACGTGGAGGAGTGATGTTTGGGGCAGGTCTCCCTCCCTGCTGGCTGCCAAAGCTGGTGCATGAAAGATATGGTGCATGGGACAGAAAGCAAGTGAGAGAAGGAACAGCTGCATAGTCTGAGGCTGGTGTGATGTTTGAAGACTAGGAAACTAGTAGCATTTATTTCATATGGGCCCCCTTTGAAGGCAACATAATTGCTTGAGATGACCTAACATGGTCATCCAAAGGCATCCCTGTCCATGGCAGAAGGTATTGCAGCCAGATCTGTGAAGATCCTTTCAACCCAAACCACTCTGTGACACTGTGATTCTATATCCAGCCACCCAGCAAGCTGTGAGCTGGCTGGAGTGGGACAGTTAGTGATGTATGGACAAGAAATTCACAGGGTCACAGTGGTTCTGGAGGCTTAATGTCTCCCTCTGAGCAACAAGTACTAGCAAGGACCACGTTTGTTTGCTGACCTCATCATGATGCTTTGTGTCAGTGAATGTATTTTCAGCTCTAAATGTGGTGCTCAATTGGGCAGGTTTCCATGGACTGGCCAAGCCTGTCACCACATGTGGGACATACACACCCAGCTGTGGCTCTTGCTGTTCCTCTCTGGGCTTGGCAAGGTGAACGTTCTACGTGGCAAAGCTTCCCTCGCTCCTCTGTAGGATCCTCCTCATTGCAAACCCTGCATCCATGTCTGAGGCTGAGCAGGTACTCTGAGCAGGTTCCACTTGGTGGTATGAGATCTCTCTGCTTCTCACAGTGCTCCATGCTCAACACAGCTCATTGCCACCTCTCTGCCTTGCCACTGCTGTGGCTGATGTGGAGACTGCCCACATCACTGCCTGCAGCGGGGCTCAGCCAGTGCTCATGATGCTGAGATAAGATCTGCTTATCACTTGTCTGTGCTCAGTGTATAAATATTAAGAGGAATATGTAAAAGAATCTCCTGAGAGCCACTTTATACTGATATTACTACAAATAAGTTATTGTCCTTTTATGGCTGAGGGAGAGATCTTGTATTTTACAGTGCATTGTATAACCTCTCTTATTTCTCTGGCGCTGGGAGTAGCCAGCAAATATCTATTCATAACAAAGAGGACAGCACTGGGATCACTGTGTAACAGGAGAAAGAAGGATGGTGGAAGGCTGATTTATGGTTGCTCAAACAAAAGTTTTATCTGTTCTCTCAGAGGCAGACTGCCTTGTTAAGTAAAACATACTGCTAAGTAAACAGGTGATAAATAATCTCTTTTATCGAGGCAATTTGAGCGGGTGGTATGAATTATTTCATTAAAAACACAAATAACTTTTACTGCTGATTTGACAACAAGCTCATTAATGGCTAGGTCCTATTTAATTCATCCGCAGATATCTGCTTTGGATTTACCCACTGCACACAGTATGGCAGTGCTTTATCTTGGGGGATGGTTTTTGTACAAATGAGACTTGAAAAAGCGGCCAACATTTAAAAGAACTGCAGCAGAAAAAGCCCTGGGGAATGTAGGCTAAACCCAGACATCCAAAGCAGTGTCAGATCCATGGGAAGCTCTTGGCTCCATCTCTGCCTATCAGTTTGCCTGGTACCTTCAGGCTGTTAACTCTATGTGAGGAAACATCCATAAAAGAGCCACAAACTGGGCATCCTTATCTCTGCTGTATCACAGTCCTTTCAGAGGAGCCCCAGAGATGGCTTTAGTTGTGTGGAGGACACAGAGGGAAAGGTGGGACAGAGCTGACAGCAGAAGGCACTGGCCCCTGGTGGGTCTCATCTGTTCTGGGCCCCCTCCCCTGAACATGGGGTTGAAAGCAACAGCTGCTTGGTTTCATTCTTTGTATTTACTGAAATCCCATTTTATGAACACCCCTGGCTGGAGAAAGCATACACAACTAAAAATAACTTGGAATGAATTTAAGCCAGAATCAGCCCACCTGGCAGTTCCAAACACAGCTATCTCCTGTTCCTTCCTTCCTTCCTCCCCTTCTGCCTCTCTGGCTAAGTTTAACCAGTGTTCAGGTGTCTTCCTGTACTGTGAAGATGAAGCAACCACTCTTTTCTCAAACCAGAGTGGTTTGATTGCTGGGGCTGATGTTCTTTTGAAGCATAGCAGGGTGATGCTAATGAGCTGCAAAGCTTCCCTTCCAAACATCAGCAGTCCAGACAGAGGTGGTGAGATGGGGTGCACTATTTGGCTGCCTGGCTTGAACTGCAGCCATGTCATCATGGTGTGTATGGACGGACCTGGTGGCCAACACCAAAATCACCATAAGTATTAAACACATGTTGTGGGTAACAGAGAGTCCCATCCTGGGGCCTCTACCTTCCCTTTACTCCTTCCAGCTTCACTTGGAATCTCAGCAGTGACCAGTTGAGTTACAACTGCCTGAAAGGAGATTGAGGTGAGGTGGCAGTTGGCCTCTTCTCCAGGTAATAGTGATAGGATAAGAGGGAATGGTCTTAAGTTGAGCTAGGGGAGGTTCAGTTTGGATATTCAGAAAAATTTGTTCTTAGAAAGAGTGGTCAGGTGCTGAAACAGTCTTCCCATGGAGGTGGTGGAGGCACTGCCCATGGAGGTGTTCAAGAAATGTGGAGACGTGGCACTGAGGGACGTGGTTAGTGGGCATGGTGGGCATGGATTGGTGGCTGGACTATGCGATCTTAGTGGTCTTTTCCAACCTTCATG